ATGACTTTGGTAAGTACAAAATCATATAAATAGTAAGTGTCTGAAAACTATCTCAAGAATACCACCAAAAATTTTTTAGAATATGATCAAAAGCCAATCACAGTTGAAGATCAGGTGTAATGTAATACTAATGTCACACAATCAAAAAAATTAAAAACAAATGTTTTTTTGCTAAAACTTGTCTATAACTCAAAAATCTATATAAGAAACCATTTTTAGTACTCTAATAAAAAGTTTTTCTTAAGCAATTTTTACTATATATTTTGTTAACATCAAACTCAAATACAAACACTAACTTGAGGATGTGGTGACTTAGTGAAGTTGATAAGTTGTCGCACCCCAAGTAGCAGGACAAGAGTTTGAATCCCACTGGCAACGAAATTCGAATTTTACAGAATGTGTTATGGTAGGACCCGAGTAATACATAGATAGGTTAGAAGTTACTAAAAAAGGAAATTTTAAGGGAAATTCAATAAACATTGCATTTTTATATAATAAATTTTTCAAATTTTAGTTAAAAATAAGCATTTTTTGAAGCAAATTTGGCATGAAAATAAGCAAACTTAGATCTAACCTATCTATGTATTACTCAAGGTCTGTTATGATAGACTGTGTATAATCTGATGGATGATCAGATCTGTAGCTTTGGTTATATCAGCTTGTACTAGAAGAATATAAAACTATAGTGTGATACAAGAGTTATATGAAATCTGAGTGAAGCATTTGTATAAATCCAAGGGCTAAAGCATACAGAATTCCGCTTGGCAAGTTCTGAGTAAAGAGATAGCACAGATTTTTAACAGCACTACATAAAAGATTATCAACCAAGGATCTGAAAACTGAACAGAACTAAGGTGTTCAGCAAGGCACTATACCAACCAGGCTGCCAGTAAAAATCAGAGGAAGGAGTCCGCCCTTCTGGGCTATCTGGATTAGAAGTTTGAGAACTGATGAAATAGTAAATGATCCGTAAAGTAGGTGCTGAGGTTTGGATAAACTATACAAAGGCAGGAGTAGGTAATGGTAACGGCTTCGGCTTGCAAGTACTCGTTCTCAGACTTGGCGTAAGTTACAAAAAGTCTAGGTTAGCTGGATTGTGAATACAGAAAGCTCTAGCAATGATGTCTCAAGGATAAATTAATTCTAAGGCCATGGTATGCATCTGAAACTCTTGATTGACGAATGTAATAGAGATGTTCTGATGATACAAGGAGGTAGTGTACGTTACAGAAAGTTTAAATAAATAATCATCTAGTTGGATTATAGGTATAGCAGCTATTATACCTATAGTGTACAGTTATCTATATACAGACTACTTAAATTTTTGGTGATGCTCTTGGAGTAGTTAGTATCTGGAGACTTTTTTTAATTATTGGCCACTAAAACACTAATTGAGCTTAGCATTAGTAGTAATGTTTATATTCAAAATAAGTAAAACCTAAATAACTATAGAGCATAATGATAAGAATCAGCCAGATTGCTGCAGTATAAGACAGTATTGGCTGATGATTATATTATACTTTTTTTTTTTTTTTTAATGTTAAGGTGATTACTTGAGAGTCTGGCATATTTATTAACTTTGGTTATGAACGTCAGGGCAGCCACAAAGCCACATCTGACTTTGTTATATTAATAAAAATATTACTATCCTAATTAACTTAATGGCATCAGAATATTCTTTTCAAAAAGAAACTGCCGCTAAAACCCCTTAGGACTACTTTATCCTCGTGATAAACCTACTAGAGCGGTCCATGTCCTACACATGTATCACCTAGATTTTTGGTAACTTATGCCTAGGCTGAAACCAAATACTTGTGATGTCTCTCTGCTATTATTACTTATTCCTTGCTCTTGCAAAGTTCACACAGACTCTAGTACACTCTTTACAGACTAACACCAACTTTTCTTCACCAACAATATCCTAAACTCTCAATCCAGATAGCCTGGGAAGGGACTAGTGGACATCTTTTTGGTATTTCAATTGAATCTTTTTTCCTCATTTATACAGAACCACCCCCGTATACTTGCGGCCTAGTTGGTATTAGTATTCTGCCAAACACCCAGTCTTTGTCCAGTTTACTGCCGGTGTCTGATTATCAATGATCGTCCTTTATGTAGTATCATCAAAGATCTGTGCTATCTCTCTACTCGGAACTTGCTAGGCAGGATTTTGTATGCCCAGCCCTTGGATTTACACAAACATTTTACTCAGATTTTGTATAACTTTTGCATCACACTATTGTTCTACATTCTTTCAATACAAGCTGATATAACCAAGACTACAGATTCGATGATCCATTAGATTACACCTAGTTTGCTATAACACATTCCTTAAATTTAAATTTTGTTACCGGTGGGATTCAAACTCTAATTCTGCTGCTTAGGGATGCGACAACTTACCAACTTCACTAAGTTGCCACACCCATTATACCATTTTTTTCTATATGATCTTGGTTATATAATTATATGACTTTTGGTCATAGTCATCCGATTATATTAAATACTAATAAAAAAATCTTTATTATGATTCTTACTATATTAAAAAAGGTCATATATTATACAGTATCAATCTTCGTTATAACCAAATGACCTATGACAAGTCATAAAGATCATATAGATCATTTAAGGTTATAGACCAACCCTGATATAAGGTGAGTATAGGTATTATGACACAGAACCAATTATGATGCATACGTGATATCTCATGGCCCAGTGATTAGAATCGGATGATTTTATCACCATTTGATTTGTCTCGACGAGATGAATCAAATGGTAATAAAATCATCTGACTCTGATTACTGAGTTACAAGATACAATTATTAACAAAATTTTATTTATAAAGCTTAATAAGAACCAATTGTAACATGTTAATAACGAGATTTTTTATTAAGTAAATTGGTCTTCATTATTAAAACAATTTTGTTCGTCATAATGAACTCTACATAATATTAAATTTTTATAAAAATCAAGTAATTTTTTATTAATTGACATTTGTAAAAAATGTTTTTGCGCCATAATATATTCTTTTAATATAGAAACACATTTTATAAAAGTCAATTAATAAAAATTATCTGATTTTCATGAAACTTTATTATTAAGTAAAATTCATTATGACAAACAAAATTGTCTTAATAATGAAAATTGATTTACTTAAAAAATTCATCAATAGCTTGTTAAAGTTAATTTTTTTAACTTAGTAAAAATTAATCTTTAATGGAACGTATCTTGGTATCTATTGATCAGAATTGGACAATTTTAGTACCATTCGATTCGTCTCGTTGAGACGAATCGAATGGTACCAAAATCGTTCGGTTTCAATTACTAGATCATGAGTTATCTCTAATTATCACGTGTGCGCCATAATTGGTCCTGCGTCATAATTTATTAATTTTTTGATCTTTATTTTAATTTGTAATATCTCGTGATCTTGTGATCAGAATCGAACGACTTTGGTATCATTCGATTCGCCTCATCGAAACGAATCGAATGGTACCAGAATCGTTCGATTCTAATTACTAGATCACGTGCTATTGGCTGTGAAACTTACCTGCGCCATAATACCTATACTATCTAATTTTATTTTATCTTTTTATTAGAATGTCTAGGTTCACTCAAAATAGATGTTTGATTATCGGCGGCTGCTGCGGCACTTCGAATTGTCACCTATAAATGAAACGTAGATCATCACCCGAACTTCTGGGGGCTGATTCATAACGATAAGAGGAATAATAAATAAAACTCAATCGAACTCAATCGAATAAACATAGATGATTCGAATGATTATTCATTATCCAGTAGTTTACTATGATCAACTTTCGTAAGCCGCCGGATAATACCGTTATTGAATGCTACACATCAATAACTTGTTTATCTGATATATCATTGATGGGTCTCAAAAGGTGATGCATTAAAATTTATAGCGAGATAATTAAAAATAATTCCCGTTATTGGATACTTTGAATCCAATAATTGCATAATTATTACAATTACATTATTCGCCGAATATGAGTCATTCGGCGAATATGTACACAATACAGTATATATTTGATCTGAATAATTTGAAGAGGGAAATCTACCTTGATCTGCGTAACAATCGTGTAACTGATATGCAAATAACTTGATCGTGCATATCAAGAGAACTAATACGTATAACGACCCGATGAACTTGTCTCTGTTGCTATGTTAAGTTTATTAAGTTCCTGATTGAAGGTTTTATTGTAATGAAATGTTTCTACGATTTTTTTTAATGGTAATAAATTCGCGTTTATGTGTTACGCCGATCTCTTTTACTTATCGTTATGAGGCAAACCGTTCGACAGTTCATAAAATTATATAAATTATGAATAAGCTAATACGATCGGATCGTCCGACAGTTCATGACCTAAGTCGACTCATATGTATACTGTTACTATATAGTGTGGAAACCCATACTAACATGAGACAAAGGTTTATGGATAAACGTATTATAGGTTATAAATCTATCACTATTAACTTTGTATTGCTGTTTTTATTGCTATTAATAAATAGATCATTACCATGTTATCAAATAATAAATTATCTAGACGTAAAATATCTAGAACAATTTTATTTAATAATTTTAATTACAATGCAACCTCCACAAAGAAATAATTGTTAAAAGCAAATTGTTTTATGCTACCTATTTCGTTCCTTCTATACGAGTCAAATATTTTGATTTTGTATCATTATGCACAGAAAACCAGATTTTATTAGATTTTTTTAAAAAAATAAACTGTGATTTTTTGGTTTTAGAAAATTTTACAACGTATAGTTCATATAAATGCAATGCAATAACCGTCGAATGTGGAACAAAAGAAAGGGAATAGCTTCCCGTGATCTTTCTTTATTTCTTAGAAGCTTTAACTGCTGCCTTGGTGGTTTTACCCGATTTATCAACCTTTTCAACAGCCTGTATTAAATTAAAAAAAAAAAAAAAAAGTGAGAATTGATAACAAATGAAACTTAAAAAAGAAATAACGGATCTAAAGTAGTATACAAACCTTAATAACACCAACAGCAACAGTTTGACGCATATCTCTCACAGCAAAACGACCTAGGGGAGGATATTCGGAGAAAGCCTCAACACACATGGGTTTGGAAGGAATCATTTTAACAATAGCTGCATCGCCGGATTTAACAAATTTAGGGTTATCTTCAAGTTTTTTGCCAGAACGACGATCAATCTTCTCTTGCAATTCAGAAAATTTGCAGGCAATATGAGCGGTGTGACAATCCAACACTGGAGCATAACCAGCACCGATTTGACCAGGGTGATTAAGAACGATGACTTGAGCATTGAATGAGGCGGATTCTTTGGCAGGATCATTTTTGGAATCAGAGCAAACAAAACCTCGACGAATTTCTTTAACTGATACGTTTTTAACATTAAAACCGACATTATCACCGGGGACACCTTGTTCTAGTTGTTCGTGATGCATTTCAACTGACTTGACTTCAGTGGTAAGACCAACTGGGGCGAATGTTACAACCATACCGGCCTTGATAATACCGGTTTCAACACGACCTACAGGGACAGTACCAATACCACCAATCTTGTAAACATCTTGAAGGGGGAGACGAAGAGGTTTATCGGTTGGTCTAGTTGGAGGTTCAATTGAATCAATAGCTTCCAAAAGTGTCTTGCCCTTGGTGGAACCACCTTTGATATCTTTTGTCCATCCCTTAAACCATGGCATGTTTGAAGATTCTTCTAACATGTTATCACCATGCCAACCGGATATCGGAACGAAAGCAACAGTCTTGGGATTGTAACCAACTTTTTTGATGAAGCCAGAAACTTCTTTGACGATTTCATTGAAACGTTCTTCAGACCATTGAGTTGTGTCCATCTTGTTAACAGCGACAATAAGTTGTTTGACACCAAGTGTATAGGCCAAAAGGGCATGTTCACGAGTTTGACCGTCTTTGGAAATACCAGCTTCAAATTCACCAGTACCAGCAGCAATAATCAGAATAGCACAATCTGCCTGTTAATTGTTAAATTAAAATACAAAACAGTAGTAAGTTTAAATAGTTAATCTATATCCCATTTAGGGAAAAAAAAAAAAAGAAAAAAGTGATCGTAACAATATAATGATTAGAAAGATTACCTGAGAAGTACCAGTAATCATGTTCTTGATAAAGTCACGATGCCCTGGAGCATCAATGACAGTGACATAGTATTTTGGAGTTTCAAACTTCCAAAGGGCGATATCGATTGTAATACCACGTTCACGTTCAGCTTTTAGCTTGTCCAACACCCAAGCATATTTGAAAGAACCTTTACCAAGTTCTTGAGCTTCTTTTCTATTGGTCAAAAAAAAAACATCCCATTAAATACGGATAAGAAAAAAAAAACATCACGAACTGATCATGAAATTTTATAATTGATTCTTACTCAAATTTTTCTATTGTACGCTTGTCAATACCCTGTCAAAATAGAAATATGATATAACGTAGGTTAGTCTAATATTAGAATATGGCAATATAAAAATCAAAAAAAAAAGAACATAACATACTCCGCATTTATAAATAAGATGTCCTGTGGTAGTGGACTTGCCGGAATCGACGTGACCAATAACGACAACGTTAACGTGAGTCTTTTCTTTACCCATGGTCGCTGAAGATGAGTAAAAAAAAAAGGAAAAAAAGAAGGTATGT